GAGGGAGACACTGAAGCGGTGAGAAGTGCTTGGTCTGTCTTGGCCTAGAGGAGCCCTGGGGCAGGGTTAAGTGGGCAGCTCTCAGAGCACCTGCAGGAGCCACAGAACAATCTGGACAGGTCGAGTGATCACCCACCCTCGTTGGTGGAACAGGTGGTGGGGAATCTCCAGCTGCCCGGGGCCCCTCCTGGTGTGTGCCCACTCCGGGGCTGAGGGCGGCACCCCGCACAGCCTGGGTCTCTCCTATTGTGCTGGGGGTTGGCGTGGGCACCCATCACCAAGCTGCACTCGTGGGCACGTGCGCATGGCTGGCCCTCCTGCCGACCCCGCACAGACCTGATTCTGGGCAGGTGACCCGAGCTGCCGACTCAGAGCCCAAGCGTCCGTGGTACCGAGCCAGGGATGCGGGGAGCAGCCCCTGGTTCGGACGCTGGTCTGGTGGTTCGTGGAGGGGCGGAAGCCCAGAGGAGGGGTGGGGTCCCAGGCCTGGGCAGACTACGCCAGGTCCTCAGGGTGAGTGGGGCTCCCTTGATGCTCCTAATGACCCTCCAAGACGGCAAGCACCTGAGGAGCCAGCGGCGTCCTTGCACGCACACCTTTGCACTCCAGCAGTTTAGGAGTGATCCCTGGGCACACGGCCGAATCTCGGGAGGCCTCCTGCTCTGCCACCCTCCCGGCCAGAGAGGAGAATGGGTTTGATCTAGGCAGTTGCTGCCAGGGTCAGTTAGGAAATACTCACTCCGTGCCTCATGGAGGCAGGAGGCGCCGGGACTCGTCCACTGCGCTGAGAAATCTCCAACCTTGGGACACCTGGGGCGGAGTGGAGGTCCTCCTCTCCCTGGGGTGTCACCCGGGACTCCTGCGCTTCTCCCTCCCTCGACGCGGTGAATTTGTGTTCTCCTTCCTGCAAAGTCTTTTCTGAACCGTGGGATTTGCATAATTTTGGAAATGAACTGGGTGTTTTATGGGCAAGGGGAGGGGAGGATTTCGAAATGTGGTCTTTGGCTGCGAGTGGGGGGAGGGCAGAGCCCTGCGTGCACCCCCACGTAGGAGGTGCTCACTAGTGGATGTGCTATTAGCCGCAGTCCTGACAGCACCGACCCAGCTCTGCTCTGACCAAAGCAGGGTCCTGCTGGAGTCAGTCGGGCATCCCCGTCTCATCTTGCTGCCTGGAGTGGCCGTGGGCCGGCCTTGTCAGTTTGTGCAGCCTGCTTGGATGTGCTGGGACGTTGGCAAAGAGAACTGGTGGAACTGTGGGGGTGGGTACTGGGGGTAGGACGGCCCTGCCGGTGCCTGCCCAGGGTGCTGCTGTGTTGGTCTGCACACCTAATGGGTACCGGGTTTTTCAGGCCCTGGTTCTGTCAGTGGTGAGGAAGCAGCAGTCCTGTTGTCAGGGCCACAGTGAGGATGGGGCTGCTCCTTAGCGCCAGGGAACCCCAGGGGTGTCCACCCTAACCTCTGATCTCTCAGAATGGGTCCCAGCCACTCAGCGTCTGCTCCCCACAGGGCGGAGCTCCGGAGGACTTCTGCGCGTTTGCTTCCCAGTCCAGCAGCTCTCTTGGGAGATTTTAGCGGTTCCCTTCTTTGGAGGAGCGAAAGCAGGTGAGGGGGGAAAGCCGGCCCTGACCTGGGGGCTGGTCTCCTACCCGGCATTTCACCTGCCTCAGCATGTCCTGGCAGGGTGGTCTCAGAGGCTGGCATTTGGCCGAGCAGTCCACGCCTGTGTACAGAGCACAGGGGCTCTGGTGTGGGATCTGGGCTTCTCCACACACCACTATCAGATTTCAGAGTCAGTAGCCTTGGCTGTGACTGACTTTCCACAGGAGGGATGAGGGGTTGGCGCCTGTCCAGTTCCTATGGACGAGGGTACCTGCTTCTTGCTGGCCACTGTGGAGTTCACAAGTCACAGATGTGGAGAAGAGGTTCTGGTGTCCATGTGCTTCTTCCTCTGTAACTAACTGGTTGGTCACAGTTAGGTACAGCTACAGGCCCCTGCTGTAGCTGCTGTATGCCATCCAGATGACCACTTGGGCCTTTGGGCCTGCAATATAAGAGGTACCACCATATGAATGGTCACATTGGGTAACCACCCTTGTGGTTAGCCATGGCATAGTCAGTGTGTGATTGTAGGGCCAAAATAGCTTAAATTTTGCCTTTGCTGCATACTGAGTGTGAGCTGGATTCTGTGTGCTACAAGTGATCTATTAGAATTAGAAAAATCTAACTGTGAGGAGACACATGTCACCCCCAGGGTGGCAAACATTGTGACCACGAGCTAGGCTGCTTCCACGTCAGGCTGTGAAGAAGCAGTGCCTGAGCGACCCATCAGAGCATGAGCTGGGACAGCCCTACCTTAGGTGTTTGACTTCATGTCCCCCTGGGGTAGGGATGGGAGTGATGTGGCTTCAAGGCTCCTGTGTGAAGCCCTTTGGCTCCTGTGCAGCCTGTGGGTGGGTGGTGGCGCTGGTCCGTTCCATGGCTCCCATTTAGCCTGTGGGTGGTGGCGTTGGTCATCCCTGTGGCTCCTGTGCAGCCTGAGGGTTGCGGCAGTGGTCAGCCTGTGGCTCTTATGCAGATGGACTCTCAGGTGAGCAGTCTACGTCTGCATCAAGTTCAGAACCCATGATTTGGCTGGCCCAGCCCTCGCATCAGCCACACTGCAGAATGTGGGTAGCACCTCTGGGTGGGGTCCTGGTCCCCAGTAAGCTCTGTATCCCACACATTTTCCACCCCACGAGACCTTCACCTCATGATCCTGGAAGGAAACTGAGGCAGTTACATGCAGACCAAGATGTCAGATTGGCATCGAGGACAGCATCCCATATTGGAGTGCTGGTCTCTGCCACCTACGTGGGTGACCAGGATGGAGTCCTGGCTTTGGCCTGGGCCATCCCCAGCCATGATGGTCATTTGGGGAGTGGGCTGGGGAACAGAAGTTCTATCTCTTCATTCTTTTCCTTTGTTTATTTTCTTTTTTATTCCTTCCATTCTTTCTTTCCCTTTCTTTTCTTTCCTTTCTCTCTCTCTTTCTCCTTCCTCCTCTTTCCCTCTGCCAGTTTGTATTTAAACTAAATTAAATAAATCCTAAGACACCAAACATCTGATGTTCCACATGAACAGAGAACTGTTGTGGACCCAGCTGGTCTTTGAGAAAGTTGCAGAGTGCAGTGGAGGAAACAAAGCCCTGACTGTAAAGCTATCAGACTTGCAAGGGATAAAAAGGAAAATAATCATCTAGGGTCTGTGAGAAAATGTGAGGCATCCAGGACAAGTGTGATCCCTGCCTGGCAGGATGGGTCAGGCCCCGCTGGGATGCCTGGGGTCTGTCCCCAGCTGTAGCTCCTGGCTCCAGGTTGCCGCTAGTGAGGGCCCTGGGAGGCCCTGATGTGGTTCATGTTGTCGGATCGTGGCCACCCCATGGGGAACCTGGATGGAGCTCCTGGGCCCTTCTGGCCCCTGGCTTCTGTCCCCCCAACCCTGGGGCACCTCTGGGGAGTGAGGCAGCTGGTAGCGTGCTCTTGAGTGCTGAGAGCACAGAGAGCATGGGTCTGCAATGATGGCTTCTCGTGGAGTTCCCACTCAACCTGCCGGCCTGGTGAGTGTGGAGTGGCAGCTCATGCTGGTTTTAACCTCCACTTCTCTGGAGCTCAGGTAGTGTTCTGTCCTCTGCTTACTGCTGGCCGTGTGAATGTCCCTTTTGGAGACACTTTTGCCCATTTTTTTAATTGAGTTGTCTTGTGGCTGAATTGTATTTCTGAAATAATATCTCACACACATAGTGCCAGTTTTTTTCACTTTACTAATAGTGTCCCTTTTGTTAATTTTTTTTAACTTATTTATGTGAAAGAGCAACAGAGAGAGGGAGAGTCAGAGAGCCCCCATCTGCTGGTCTCATTCACACAGTTAGGTCTGGGCCAGCAAAGGCAGGACAGGAACTGCATCTCTCACACGAGTCCAGGCAGCGTCCCCAGGTGTGGCTGTGGTCTGGGTGCAGCATCCACCTCCCCACCCCCACTGGGCCCTCTTTCCACTAGGTTCTGTGACTTTCCTCTGGCTGCTGTGAAATTGCCCTGGGGGTTGTTCCTGCCCATGAAGCCTCTGACCTGAGACAGTTGCTTTGTCTTCAGCTTCTCGCCCACAGCCAAGGCAGACTTCCCAGGCAGGCACTGCCCCACGGCATGCTCTTGAGGCCGCATTCAGGCACACGGCAAGCCCTTGGGTCCCACATGGCTCCAGCTGGCTCCGTGGCAGGTGTTCTAGTGTGTGGAGGGATGTGGGGCTTCCCGGGCTCTGGGCATCCCAGCTGAGCTGTGTGAAAACCCTAACCACCCTCAACTCTCCATGGGGAGTGACCTGCTGGGTCACCTGAGTGTCTCCATCCAGTGTAGCCAGCTCTCCTGGGTCTCCTGCAGCAACCAGTGCTAGGTGCCAGCAGCCTGGCCATGGCCTGCCTCACTCTTGGCCCTGCTGCGGGGAACAGTGATGTGGGCTTTCCCAGGCACTCTCATGGGTGTCTGGATCAGGTCCAGCATTTACAGCCGCACTGCCATCCCCAGTGACATGGTGCCTGAGTCTTCCATTTCCACAGAGCCAACTCCCAGGGCCAGCCCTGCAGGTAAGGAACAGGTGCATGCGGACAGTGCCACTTCTCTCACCCCCACGCTGGTACCACATCCTGGCAGCTCAAGGTGAGACTGCACCTTGGTGCTGGACCGATGTGCACACACCTGCTGAAACTCTCTCCATCCCTTCACAGTCATTTCTGCCTCAGTTGCCACCTTGTCCCTGCACAGAACTCATGATGGTTCTCACTGTGTTTGTGTCTGGGGTGTTTGGCCACGGTGACACCTCTGATGTCAGGCCGTGCTCCTGAGCTCCTGCAGAGCCAGGTCCCTGCACTGCCCAGCATCCAGGGTGGGGCAGGGCAGGGCAGGGCATCCCCTCTGCTCCCTCTACGTGCCAGAGGACCTCACATGCTTGCTTGTCAAGCCAGGGCCCATATGGTTTATGCTGCTGGCATAAAGACAGCCTTCACCCTCTGCGACCTCACAGCCACCATGACCCCAGGGCCTCTGGGGTCCCAGGTACTGTTTGTTACCTCTAGGGACATGCTCTTCTGTCCCCACTCCTGTCCCCTCCCAGCAGTATGGGACACAGGGGGTCCAGCTGCTCTTGCAGTGGGACGACAGCTATGCTGTCCAGGCACTGTTCTTTCTGACTCTCAGGATGCCTGAGTGGCCCGTCTCACAGCTTTGATTCTTTCTTCAGCCATGGAAACCTCCTGTGAATGTTCACAGCTCCTTGTCACGGCTCACTGTCTTCGCTGAACTCCCCTCTTGCTGCTGGTCGTGGCTGCCTCGGCGCTGCGACGAAGCTCATGCTGTCCGTGTGAGGTCATTGCCTGGGAAGCCTGACTCCTGGGGCTGTCCTGTTCTCTTCCATCTACTGTGCCCCCTGTGGCTTTTTTTCTTGAAGGTAACATTGAACTTTGAGTGGCAGTTCTGCAAGTCAGAGTTCCTTTTCCTTCAGGGTTAGCTATAGTTTACATTTCTGAATGGATTTTGACATCTGTTGTGTCTGTCTCACATGGATACTGAGATGTTTCATTAGCTAGTGGACAGATTCTGAAGTGCTAGAAGGAAACCCTAAGGCAGTTCTTGGGTGGGGATAGTCCCTAACCCAAGACCCCTAACCCTTGGGTCTCCAAGAGAAGCCCCTTCAGGTCCCACACAGTGTGTGGGTCTCCCCCTGCCTTTGACAGGTCTGTTGGGGCTGCTCCTTTTCTAGACACAACTGGAGTACATTTTAGCCCCTGCCACACTGGAGCCTACCCTCTCTCCACCTTTCTGGGTTGGAGATCCCAGGCCCGTGTCCCCAGGCAGTTCTGTTGGGCAGCCTCCATCTCTACAGCCTAGTCCTGTTCTCTGACCTTAGATGGAGGTCAGATCGCCCTTCAGCGGGCACCAGGCATGCAAGAGAGGACCAGGCCGAAGGTTGCCAGCATCCAAGGCTCTGGGGTGGCCAAGGTCCTGATGCGCGCTCCCTTCTTTTCTTACAGGCCCTGCAACTTGGTCGGCAGCACTTAAGCCCTTCGGCCTGCGTGGCACATGAACCCATGACCCAGCTTCATGGACCAGCAGAGTCCTAAAGCAGCGGAGGTGCGGTCCGTTTGCATCACGTCATCATCAATGTGGGAGGCCGCCTGGTGTGCTTGGCCTGGGTGGCCCTGGCATGCTGCCCGCTTTCACTCCTGAAGCGCCTGCAGACCTGCCGCAGCCAGGATGAGCTGCTTCGCGTGTGTGAGACTATGACATGAGCCGCAAGTTCTTTGACCACAGCCCCTGCGCCTTCCGCGCCATCGCAGTGCTGCTGCGCGCTGGCAAGCTGCGGCTGTTGCGAAAACCCTGCACCTTCCGCGAGGAGCTGGCCTACTGGGGCATCGGCCAGACGCGGCTGGGCGCTGCTGCCTGCGCCACCTGCTCCACCGCGAGGAGGCTGGACGTGGTGAGCAGCAGACCCTGGCGCATACCGTGGGGTCTGGGCCGCTGCAGCGTGGCCCCTAGTGTCTGCGCGACGTGCTGGACAACTTGCACTCGATCCCCGCGGGGAAATTCTTCACCTGCGTCTCGGTGGGTTTTGTGGCCATCACAGCCGTGGGCCTGTGCCTGAGCACTATACCAGACATCGGCGCCGAAGAGGAGCAGGTGAGCAGGGCCGTGAGGACGGCCCGGGCTGCGGGGCTGGCTGGAGACAGAAGTTGGTTTCAGTGGCTCAGCAAAGGGCAGGTGATGTGCTTGGCCACATCAATTCCAGGGTGGGTCATGGCTGCCTTCCCTTTCCACTGACCAATTCTGTGTCCTGTTGGCCTGGGAGGCCGCACCCACACAGGGCAGAACAGCCGAGTGCGGTTTGTGGATACTTTAGGACAAGTGGGGACATGGCTGGTGGCTTTGGGAGGCCTCACTTCTGGTCACACTGGAGACTGCAGGAGAATCTTAGAAGTGCGAGGACCCAGTAGGTAAAGCCTGGTGGGCTGAAGGGAGGCCTCCTTCCCTGACAGTCTGCCCTCCACGTAGCTGGTCTGGAGAATTTTGCCTGAGGTTAGTGGGGGCCAGGGCTGCAGCCTAGGGGCCTGACACTGGATCCCACACAGCCCTGTCTGCTGCCTCCCCAGCGTCATGAGGGCCACAAGGAGTGAGACTTGCCATTATCCTGCCTGGAGAGCAACTGTGAACAGATGAACATCCAGTCCCCTCACCCAACCCAGCATCTGCTCCCAGGAGACACCCCTGCCCCAGGCAGGCTTGCAGCCCAGCCCAGAGCTGTGCCAGTGACACAGGTGGGAGCCCAGAGCTGGGGTGTCCTGGGGGCCAGCTCAGGAGTGTCTTCCTTTCCACCCATTAGGAGGAGGGCAACTGTGCACATGGTTATACTGGAACGTGCTTGGGCCTGCATACAGTAATGTCAGGTGTCCGTCATCATGGCTCCTCTGTGTTGGACTGAGGCACCTCCGGCAACTAGTGAGAACCCGAGTCAGCTTCTGTGTCGACATTGGCTGGCAACAAGCAGAGGTCCCACAGCAGAGGTGCAGCCATGGATGTTTCCACCTGGTCTGCAGGCTGGGAATGCCTAGTGCCCCAAGATGCAGTTCCGGGTGTGGGTGAGAGGACCATGTGAGGGTGGTAGAGCCCTGGCTTCACAGTATGAGAGCGAACATGCCAGCATTGGCCTTTGCATCCTCCCCCCCGCCACTCACCTGGCCTATCTCCTTCACCCACCTGCCCCTGTCCCATAGCCACCTGCCCCCTCCCACACCCACCTGGTGTGGAAGAGGCTATGTGGGGGAGGGTGGGTGGTAGAGGCTTTTGTGTTGGGGGAGGCTCTTTTGTAGGGGAGGCTAGGTGTGGAAGAGGCCGGGGTATGGGGTAGGCTGGTGGGTGGGGAAGGCAGTTGGGTGGAGGAGGTGGACCCAGGCAGGAAGTCTTCCAGCAGCACCTACATACCATCTTCTCTCAGCTCTGCCATGAGCACCCATGCTCTCTGGAAAAGGTGACCTGGCGAAGTCCAGGTGAGTGTGGATCTGGGAGGATGAGGCTCCTGAGGACTTGATTGTAAGATTGCCCCTTGCTGGCAGATACCAGAAGTGCTGGGGTGTTAATAGGTCACAGACAGTAATCCAACATACAACCCATCAAATCTATACTTAGTAACACCAGATACTGTGAAGTAACACACTCTTAAGTAGAAGCCCAGCAAAGATATACTTAGTAACAGCAGAAATTGAAACATATGCTGTGAGTTTAAAGGCCCAAACAGGTACTTAGTGGCCACAGATACTGCACTCAGGAGAGGATTCTGGAGCCTACCCTTGGAAAACTAAGTGACAGGGAAAACAGAGCAAGGAAGGTTGGGGGGTGTAGGGCAGGAGAAAGGCTTCCTGGGAAAGCCAGGAGAGGGTGGCACTGGGTTTCCCAGCTGAATGGGAGACTTGGGTCACCACACCACTTCCACCAGTTAATAAAAGGAAGCATAGTTGAGCACATTTAAACATCCGGGGCAGGGAAGAATCGTCCTAGGTTGTGAGAAAGCCAGAAATTGTACAGAAAGGAAATATTTGGCAAAATAATGAAACCCCAATAAAAGCCCTTACCCAGATTTAAGCAGAGAACTGTGATTTCAGCATAAAATGGCTGCATCTGTGACAAAGAGTGTGTGTCCTTCATGTGTGGGAACTTCTGACAGGTTAGTAAGGACCATGCATCGCCAGAGGACAGGAAACGTAGCAATGGCCGAGAAATAGGGAGAGCTGTACGGTGAAGAGCAGCTGTTGTTACAGGTTCCACGTCACCCCGTACTGACATGTCCTGTGTCCATCCCACCACCACACCCTGGAAGGCAGCAGGGCTCAAGTGCTTGGGTCCCTGCCCATTCCACATTGGAATGCAGATTTGGGTTCTGGTTCCTGGGTTCAGCTTGGCCCAGACCTGGCTGTGGACATTTGGGGGTGTGAGCAAGTAGGTGAAAGATCTTGCATGTTGTCACTCCACCTTTCAGGTAAATAAAAGTAAAGCTTTTGTTTAAACAAAAAAGATTTTTGTTTTAAAAGACAGTTACAGAGAGATACTCCATCCACTGGTTCACTCTCGGCTGCAGTGGCCAGCGCTGAGCTGACCTGAAGCCACAAGCCTCCACCTGTCTCCCATGTGAGTACAAGGAGCTATGCACTTAAGCCATCCCCTGCTGCCTCCCAGGCCACAGCGAGCTGGATCAGAAGTGGAGTAGACAGAACATGAACAGTTGCCCATTTGGGATGAGCCTACTATATCATGGTACCACTTCAAAGGACTTTTTTTTTTTTTTTTTTACTGTTACTTTAATACTGAATGAGGGGGTTTCAGATCCATGTAGGGTAGAGAGGGTCTGGATCAGGGGAGGTAGGTGAGAGACTCCAGTGTTTTCTTCTGTGTCTGAGGTCAGTGTGTGGCTGGGTAGGGGGTGCACCATTCCTTACTGTCAAGCTACATCATTGCTTAGGGGTGGAAATGGTCATTTGATGTCACCTTAGAGATCCCAGTAAGGGGAAGAACACTCGAGGATGTCCACTTGAGTGGTCTTGATCCAAGATGGTGTTGGCTTCATTACACATGAAGTGCTAAATTCTGAGGCCTGTTGGCTGTATGTGTTTACCTGTGTATCCACAGACCTGGGAGCCTGTTGTAAAGCCTGGCCTGGAATGTTGTTCAACCTGTCCTTTCCATCTTTTGATGAGGTACTCAAAGTCTTCTGTTGTTTTGGGTGACCTGGCTGTCTTGTCTTCCATGTTCATCTGGGTGTGATCTCCATTCTAGCATGAGGATCAGCCACTGAGGTGGCCTAGTCCTGCAACATGTGTTCCAGGGTCAGACCACATGTCAATGGTTTCCCCAAAGGCAAGGATTGAATGTAGTAGTCTAGTTGGGAAGCCCCCATAAGAAATCTCACCTGGGAAGCTCTCACATGCACTACTGGTGCTGTGCCCTAGTCAAGGCAATCCTGAAGAAACCTTACCTGGCCTACTCCAGGCCGGATTCTCACATGCGCTAGCAGATGCTGCAACCCAGCCCTGCGCTGCCCTGCCCCTTCAGCCCAGCTTTCATGTGCACAGGGTGGTGCTGCCTTTCCTGGCACATTCCCAGCCCTGTTTCTCGCAAGTGCCAGCAGGTGCTGCAGTTCAGCCCCAACACTCATAGGCAGGTGCTGTGACTTAAGACTGGCCTGCCCCACCCTCAGTCCAGCTTTTGCTGGTGGCTGCTGTGGTCTGGCCCAGCTCAGCCTGCTAATTCTAGTTCTTGCATGTGCCAGTAGGTGCTGTAGCCTAGTTGGGGTGTCCTGAAAAAAACCTTACCAGACCCACACCTAAGCATAGCTTGGCTAGGTGATACAACCTAGCCTGGCCCATCCCAACCCATTCCCCTAACCCCCAAATGTGATGGTAGGTATCTTGGTCTGACCCAGGGAGGCCCTCTCATCTACTCCACTTCAGCACCTTCAATTACCAGCAGGTGCATTGGCCTGCTCCATGGATACCCCTAGTTTTCTGTATGTGTCAAGACCTCAGTGGCTCCTATTCCGATTTGCCCACAGAACCCTTCCCCATAAGTATGTGCCTCCCACCACTGTGCCAGCAGGGGCCAGGGCACATGGTGGGCCCTCTAAAAGCAGGATCTTAGAAAAGATGTTTGTGATGACAGAAATGCACATTTCAGCCATGTGATAGTTTAAGTTGGTAGCAAAAATTCAAGTAAATGACCACAGCCAGTGTTGTTCAGGCTGCCCAGAAAGGGGCCTAACCTGTGGACATGGCATTGCCTAGGTCCTGTGAGGAGAGGAAGTGTGGCACTGTACCGACACTGAAGGGAGAGGAAGTGTGGCATTGCGCCAACAGTAGGGAGAGGAAGTGTGGTGTTGCACTGACAGTGGGGACTTGAAGTGTGACATTGCAGACACACTCGGGAGAGGAAGTGTAACATAGTGCAGAGTGTCAGCTATGCACTTGCACAGCCTCAAGGTGCAGTTCTAAGAATCAAGATGAAGTGTCGCCCTGACAGCAAATGAATACCTAGGAGGGGCAGCAGTAGACAGCTGGACTGCTGCAAGTTTATGTGATGAGGATAGAGCAGGCAGGCACTGGCTTACAGCCAAGGACCCCATATGCTGGCCCGCAGGCTTGGAGTCCAGCCCTGTAGAGACATGCAGCCTGCAAGTGGCAGTGATGGCTCAGGTAGCAGTGCCCGGTCATCCATGTGCAAGACTCAGGTGGGGCTTTGCCCTCTGCAGGGCTGTGAAGGGCAGCTGTCTGTCACCTTCCCTGCAGGTCCTGTGGACACGTGGCCACTCTAGAACCTACTCGTCACCTCAGCAACTAGTCACTCCCAAGTCAGACCTATGTCTGCCTCCTTCTGGGTCCCAGCCCTCCACTCTGTCCATGAGGCCTCGCCTTTAACAACTAGGAGGAACTGGACACTGGACCCCCAAGCATGGGCTGCCTGTTTGTTAGTTCTCTGTAGCGACCAGGAGGATCCCTGAGAACTGGTGGCACTGCCCCAGCTGCAGTGTCCAGTCCCTGAGGAGGCCTTTGGTGGACTGCTCTGTAGTGACAGAGTCTGGGTACCTCCTGTCCCCCTGAGCTCGCTTGGCCGACCAGCTCCCATCAGTGGCAGCCGTGTGCCAGGGCCAAGAATCCTCCACAAACAAGTTGCCTGTAGTTGCTTCTCCGGGACCTTGGGGTTGGTGCCTGAGACTCCTTGTCCCCCAGCTCTCAGTCACCGTGGCCCCTGCACTCTGCAGCCTGCAGCCAGGGCTGCATCTTGCTCAGCTACCTGGGTCCCTGGGCTACTGCCTAGCCCCCCACCACTGTCCCTTAGAGTGCCCGGGTCAGCCCCTCCATGTGTGGGAGTGCCCAGCTCAGCCCCTCCATGCATGGGAATGCCAGGGTCAGCCCCTCTATGCCTACGAGTGCCCAGCTCAGCCCCTCTGTGCCTGGGAGTGCCCAGCTCAGCCCCTCCGTGTGTGGGAGTGCCCAGCTCAGCCCCTCCATGCTTAAGAGTGCTCAGCTCAGCCCCTCCATGCTTAAGAGTGCTCAGCTCATCCCCTCTGTGTTCTGCAGCAGTGAGGTCTGCTCTTTTGGGAAGGGAGTTGGAGCTAGTTTGGGGTCCCAGTCTGTGTCCCTGCTCCCCACACCAGGCACAGGCTCTGAGGCAGTCACACTGAGAATGACCCACAGCCCTAGGAGCCAGGCATTTCTCCATGGTCATCTCCCAGACCCCTAACCCAGGCCGAGTCAGCCACAGGCACGAGCTCTCAGGCCACAATCCCAGGAACACTGCATACCCCAGGCACCCACATGCCAATCTATGTCTCCTCTCCTCCGCAGGGCGAGTGCTCCCACAAGTGCCGTAACCTGCTGGTGTTGGAGGTGGTGTGCGTGGCCTGGTCTCACTGGAGCTCCTGCTGCGCTCTCTGCAGACTAACAGCAAGTGTGCCTTCCTGCGGGCACCGTTAAACCTCGTGGACATTGCAGCCATGATGCCCCTGTTGGTGTCACTGCTGGCATGGCTGGCAGTGGGCACGGACCCTGGCCAGTGCGGGCTGCTGGAACCAATGTGTGCACTCTGTGTAATGTGCGTGGTGTGCCACTTGCAGGGTTGCGCTCGCTGGGGTTGACCGTGTGTCATTGCATACATGAGCTCGGCCTCTTGCTGCTGTTCCTCTGCGTGGCCATGGCACTATGTGCACCGCTCATGCACCTAGCTGAATGTGAGCTAGGCATGTACCACAACTTTGCCAATGTGCCTGCCAGCAACTGGTGGGCCATGGAGACATGGTGCCGCGCAGCCTGCCTGGCCAGGTGGTGGCACTCGGTGGCATCCTGCTGCTGGCCCTGCCTGTCACAGCCATCTTCTACACCTCTCATGCTCCTATGCCAAGCTCCATGCGCAGAGGCGCCCTGCAGCCAGCCCAGGGTGAGCCTGCAATGGGGTCCCCTCCCTTCCATGGCCAGCCCCAAATAATACGGAAGGGAGGGGCACCTGTGGCAGGGACAGCAGGAGCCCAGAGAGGTGGGGGTGCAATCTCCATGGGGTTCCAGGGCCACAGAAGTGTGTCTTGTGATGCGGACCCTCCCACAGTACACATGACCCATACCAGCTGTAGTCGGGGGGCAGTGTTAATAACCAGGTCCTGGCCATGCAGCCCCCTCAGGGTCAGTACCACTGTTGGTTGCATGTTGATCTGTGGGCACCATAGACTCCATAGAGAACTGGTAGCATATGAAAAGGAGGGGTGTCCCCCACATCATGGGCTGTGCTGGACCAGGCAACCAGCAACTGCAAGGTGCACCTGGGAGCTGCCACTTCTGCCCAGTCATGTTATGGACACAGGCAGGAGGGTGCCTGCAGCCTGCAGCCCCCAGCCCAGACCTAATCCTTCCCACTTTGCTCCAGGACCAGCATGTTCCACTGGGTGGGTGCCAAGTACATGCACTGCCTCCCTCATCTGCTGCTTGGAGAAGCTGCACTCCCTGCCCAGCTCCAGCCAGTTCCTTTCCACCCTTTTCTGAGGCCAGGCTCAGCCAAGAGCTGCAACCAGGCAGCCTTCAGAAGTTTATTTCTGCATGAGCTCAGAGTGCCCAGCACTCCCAGGACAATCTGTAGCAGCCAGTGCATCCCAGGCAGCCCCTCCTCCCCGAGTCCTCCCAGGGCAGTGCCCAAAGGGGCACACAGGATATGGCATCTGGATGAAGTTTGTACAGCCCAGGTGTAATGGGTGAGCAGTACAGCCAACTCAGCCAGCCGAGGGGCCAACACTGCATACAAATCATGTCTCCCTGGACAGACACACCTCCCTGTGCAGTGCAGGGGACGGCAGCTGGGTCAAATGTGGCAGCCAGCACAGTCAACTCAGCCAGCTGAGGGGCCAACGCTGCACGCAAGCCAGTGTCTCTGGACAGACACCTCCCTGTGCAGTACAGGTGACAGCAGCTGGGTCAAATGTGGCAGCCAGCACAGCCTGAGTGACAGGAGTGCTGACAAGGGCAGAAGAGGTGGACCACACTCCAGGTGCTGCCGGCCACCTACAATGTTCTGCTCCCGCAATCTGTGCCACCCCCCCAACCAGGCTATAGCCTCTTGCCCTCACCCAAGATGCCAGTCTTGGGCTGAGACAGGTACCAGCATGACACTGAGGACCACTCAACACAGTACTGGTGGGCACTGGCTCTTCCTGTCCTCTTAGATGGGCCCACCACCCTCTGGTCAGCCTGCACCCTACACCAAGACCCAGCTGGTCCCTTGTAGGCCTGCCTGCTGCCTAGTCCCACAGCAGAATCCTCCCTGGCAGCCTCAGAGGGCCTTGGCACTGGCAGGGTGAGCAGCATGGGGTGCCGGCTTCTGAGGGCGGCGGGCAAAGGCATAGGCCTGGCCCAGGATGGCCAGGTCCACCAGCACCTGCAGGAGGCCACAGACAGAAAACTGCAGAGGTGCACCCTTGAGCAGGAAGTAGGCCGTCTTGAAGGTGTCTCCGCTGGTCCACATGAGCACCATCTTGATGCTGTGGAGACAAGAAGCAGTCAGTGGCTGGACAGGACTCAGGGACAGGACAGGTGGGGAGCAGGCCTCACTTCCTCCCACCCCTCTGTGGCCTGCTCTCTGGGTAGGGTGGTCAACCCACCCCCTGGCCAGAGGTGTTGGCCAGAAAGGCCAGTGCCAATCCAGACAGCTGTGCAGGGTGCCCGGGGGACCTTTCCATCCCTATTCACAGCGCAATGTCCCCTCCAGATGGCCATAATTACCACCCTTGTCCTTGTCATCTTCCTAGGTATGCCAATTGCTTGAAGTACACTCCACTAGTCCCAAGCTGCAGGCAGGGTGGACAGGCTGAGCCCCAGCCTGGAGGTTAAGGGTGCCAATTTACCCAGGAGCTGTACACCCTCAGAGCAGTCCTAGCAGAGGTATCATCCCAGGTGAGGTGCACAGAGGCCATGGCCATCTCCTCTCACCCTTGAGCCTCAAAACAGAGGTGAACATGGGGCCCCTAGAAGAGAGGGGACCCCTCTACCTCAGGCTGCCCAGGGATGACCCCAGCTTCCTTCTGTCTGCTACTTCAGGACCCAGATGGACTGCGTGGGAGCAGGGCTGCTGTCACACCTGAAACATGCCACAGCAGAGTGTCCAGCTTTGAGTCTCCACTCAGTTGCCAACTCTGTACCTCAGAAGGCAGCAAGTGAACGCCCAAGTGGTTAGGTTCCTGCTGGTGTACTCCATGAGGGAGACCTGGTCTGGGCATTTAAGGAGTGATCTGACAGATGGAGAGTCTCCTGATGTGTGGGCGTCTCTAGCCATACCTGGGATCATGGAATAAACACCTGCCCATGCTGCCCAAGGCCTGGATAACCCCACATGCTTCTCTTCCAACAGGACACAGATGGTTAGCCCAGGGGTCCTATGCTGGGGTCACCACCACCAGAGGCCATGCAGACCCCAAACTCCTCCCTGGGCTCAGGGACAACAGCCAGGGTCCCAGAGCTACGCAACGAGTAGCTGAAGCAGCACTCAGCTTTGTCAGACAGCTCAGGGGCAGCCAGGGAGACCAGGGCGGGGACCAGCAGGAGAAGAGAAGAGAGCCATGGGAACCAGCTCCACCCCTGGAAGAGGCTGACAGGGTGGGCTCCCAGCATATGAGCTGCTGGGCTGCCTGTGATCTGCAGTTTTAACTATGGTTCTAGGCAAGATGCTGAAGCTGCCCCAGCCTGGGTCCTCTCCTGCCCTGGGTTCTCCCACTAACCAGGCAACAGTGGCCCTCCCGGTGGTGGCCCACCTCTGCACCTGCCACAGGTTGACTATGAACTCCAACCTCCACTATCCCCACACACCACTCCCACTTGGCCCAGGACCCAAGTAACACATTGCTGACTCCAGCTGCCCGAGAGGGGCCTGGGACCTTCACCTGGCTCCCACTGCATGGAATCCCTGACCCTGCACACCCTGGGGGCATGGTCAGACTCACCTGACCTCCACTCGGGACCAGACCCTCCTTGGGGTCACGGTCTAGGCAATGACCTCAGGTGTTGTGGGATGGCCAAGGAGGCCCTGGGTAACAGGTGCAGTCTGCGCAGCGCTTCTAGAACTGGAGCAGCTGATCACCTTCCCTTGGAGACATCGCCTACAGCCTCACCCCACAAGTGCAACATCAGCAGAGTCGGGCCCTGTCCCCTGGTCAATGCTGGCCCTCGGCCACCTTGTTTGGGCGGTCACATCCCCATTTCCTACTTACTTATTTTTGTCTACTTAGAAGGCAGAGTGAGGTCTTCCACCTGCTGGTGCACTCCCCAAACTCCCAAATTAGCCAAAGCTGGGCCAGCCTGAAGCTGAGAGCCTGGAACTGCACCTGGGTCTCCCGAGTGGGTGGCCAGGGCCCAAGGGCTGTATTAGCAGCTGCCTTCATTCTCCACCCATCACAGGCAGTGGCTTGACCCACCGCACCCCAAGGCCATTCATGAGGTCTCCCGCTCCCACTCCGGATCACGGTCTGATCCAGCTGGTGATCTCTCCCAACCAGCTGTCTGTCTGACGTTTACCTTCACCATGCTTGCCTCCTGTTTGCCTTCTGACTTTTTTTTTTTTAAAGATTTATTTTTATTATTTTTTTATTGGAAAGGCGGATATACAGAGAGCAGAGACAGAGAGGAAGATTCTCCGTCCGATGATTCACTCCCCAAGTGAGCGCAACGGCCGATGCTATGCCGATCCGAAGCCAGGAGCCTCTTCCGGGTCTCCCACAAGGGTGCAGGGTCCCAAAGCTTTGGGCCGTCCTCGACTGCTTTCCCGGGCCACAGGCAGGGAGCTGGAAGGGAAGCGGGGCTGCCGGGATTAGAACCGGCGCCCATATGGGATCCCGGGCGTGCAAGGCGAGGACCTTAACCACTGCGCCACCGCGCCGGGCCCTGCCTTCTGACTTCTTTAGGTTAGTCTGCAGTCTATTTTCATTTTAGAGTTTTTGAGTGAAGACTCAGGCAAGCGTTTGCAGCCTTCCTCCTCTCCACTGTCAGCATGTGGCTCCATAAAGCAGCCCAACTTGCCCTCCAGGCTGTCACTGCTCCCCAGAAGGTGACACCGTTTTTGAGTTTGTATTTCATGGACGCACACACAGTGGAGCTCTAGCAGACTCAGCATCTTTCCTTGAGCAAGTCCTGCCTCAGCTTCACCATAGTCGTGACACATGGGACGACTCCAGCTTCTGAAGCCTACCTGCCTACCCCTTGTCCAGCCTCTTCTGTCGAATGCACTGCTCTGGCCCCAGGGCCAGGGGTCTGCCTGTGCGGCCCCCGTCTCCACCCCACTTGCAGGTCATGCTGCTGCTTCTGGGCTGGCTGACGCTGCGGGTGGGGGAGGCTTGTCCCGCCGGTCCACCGAGGTGTTGCCACCTGTGCTGTCTCAAACCTCCTGCGGTCCTTGCCTGGACCTTCTGCTCCATGAGCCCACAGAGCACACACTTGGGACCTCAGACCTGAGCAGAAAGACAGGACAGCTGAGGGGGAGCCACTCAAGAGGGCCAGGCAAAAGCACCAGGCCTGAGAGGCCCAGTGTCGCCCTGACTTAGCACCTGGAGACTACAGCAGCCATGACAGAGCCACAGCCACACCTGGGGCACAGCACTGACATGTGGGGTGTCAAGACAGAGCCAGCATCTCATGTCCTAGCCCCTGCACCTGTCCCAAGGACACAGGCAAGAGATGGCCACCCTGCTCTGAAAGACAGCCTGGGTAGTCCGACACTCACGCATGGCCCCAGCACAGAGCAGGGGGCCCAGGGTGAGGCCACAGTACCCTGTTCCCTGGAAGGCAGACACCATAGCATCTGCTCCTTCTGTGTGTACCCTGCATGTGGGCTCCTGGAAACCTAAATAGATGGCCACTGCCGCCTGGGCCTCCATGTAACCTGCAAGCTCACTCCCAGCCACACATGGCCTGGCCACAGTGAAACAGTCATTGAACATCAACATCCCCTTGTCCTCAACTTCACTGGGAAACCAGATGATGCAGAGAACACACACAAGGCCCATGGGAGGAGGAACACACACATGGTGAAGAGCCCCCTTCAGCCAGGCTGCTGGGACTGTGCTGTGGCTCCTCTCCATGCAGCAAGCCACAAGCAACTCACAAAAGCTCTCATGGAGCCATCAAACTGGACCCTGACCTGAAGATGGTTTTGTGCATCTACAGAGTCAGAAAAAGCCAGGCAGCCTGTGGCCTGATCGCCATGGTCACGGAAGTGGCCGGGGCAGTGCAAGGTCAGTTATGCCCTGGTCTCAGGTGGATGCCCAGGCCCAGGCAGGCAGAGCCCTCCATGTTCAATGGCTAGAGCCCTTGCAGAGAAACCCACAGTGGGGGACCATCACAGCTCATGTTGATGGCACAGCATGGCTGAGGTCCCACCAGGTTCAGGCCAACACTGGGAGCTCCGGGCAGGAGGCCCAGGGTTGACAGAGCCCTCACCCCTTCCTTCCCACTTGGGGCCTAATAGGACCTCATGGGAATGTTCCCTCCCTGTCAGCAGGTCCCCAGACCCAGGACACTACGGGCTGCAGTGGCCTCAGGCCATGGAGAGGCCGTCTCCTGGGTCAGTGGTTTCAGTGGACAAGTCTGAGTGTACATGTGCACATTTGTGCATCACAGCACACATGTGTACATCCATATGTATACTATTGAACACATGTGGAGTCCAGCCACCTGAGCAAATGGGTCTTGGACTTATTAGGGCAGCACCCCCAGCTCCTAGCCCACCACAACACTGGACCAAACATGTGCCACAACCACTGGGTTTGTGTGCTCCTCTGGGGCTGCTATACACATGCATGTTATGTACACCATGTAAAACGCATATTAGATACGTCCCAACACAGCCCATGGGAGCCCAGCGGCTGGGAGTCCTTCCAGGCCTTAACCCCCACTTCCCACAGCAGGAAACCCAGAAGCCCCTTGCCCCGCCCCAGCATCCATGGTGGACACTGCCCCTCGTCCTTAGCTCTGTCCTCACAGTCCAGCCCACCCTAGCCAAGCCCTGCTATGGGTTCCTCTTTACAATTAGCAGCAGAACTGGACACAGTGTCCTCTCCCCCTGCCCTACCTCATGCCCTCGGTGGAGCGGTGGCGCTGGTTGCGCAGGAGCTGAGGAAGGCCCAGCATGGCCTCGGTCAGCACAGCCAGGAAGCCCAGGGTCTCCACAAACAGGGTCGAATCAATGGACAGGTAGGTGATATAGGCAGCCACACCCGCAAAGGCCAGAACACACTGCACGTAGTCCCCAAAGCTGCTCCAGTGCCAGAAGTGATGTGGGTCGAAGTCTGAGGGTGAGAGAGCGGAAGGACAGGTGAGCTAGGATCCAGTCCCTTCCCTCCATAACCAGGCAAACCAGGGTACCACCCCTGCAGAGAGATGGTACTCACAGTACCTGCCTCCCCCTCTGCCCCGTACTCTTGAACAGGTGGATGCTGGGAGCCTTATGTGGGATGTGGGCAGGTGTGTGGGCAGCAGTGAGTGGGTGGGTGTAGGC